AAAGAGCTGTGATGGGGTAAGTGTGTGTTTATAGTGTGGGTCGACATCTGTGTAGCTGGACAGTTAGGGGGCGCCTGAGGCACTGGTGTGAGATAAGTGCGTAAATGAAACATGGCACAATCCTTAGGTTTCAACCTGACTGCTGATATGAGCAGCCCCGTGAACCTGACCCTTCACTTTGCCTTATACCTGTAATTTCATACATGTGCTGAGGGGCAGAGAGCGATGTTCCCCACACTCTGCTCAGGCAGGCCGGGCTACACAAGCACACAGTGGGAGATACAGGCGTGCAAAAGCTATTTAAAAAATGATGTCTAATAGTCTATTTGAAAAGAATTTATTATAAAGAGATTGAAAGCAGAAGACAAATGGAGTGAGGTGAAGTTCAGCATCTCCATCAGACACACATCACACCTTCATTTGGGCTCATTAGGCCTGAGATGGGGAGCAGAACGCGTACTGAAGTAATCTGTTTTATCCACAGCTGATCAGTTAAGAAGCCAATGTCCCATGCTTCAATCAGATTAGGTGAAAGTAAACAGCAGTATCTCTTTCAGCCAGCATTAAGTTTTTAGCTGTTTGTTCTGTAATCCTCTGTAAGCTTGCAGGCTGCTGTAAATAAAGACTGCTGTGTTTCTAAGCCTCCTGCTGTGGAGAGTTTCCTGCCTGGTCAGTTAAAAAACAAAATGCTGATTTTTTTGAAAGACTTAAAAAAAAAAAAACACTTTAAGTGTGCACAAAAATCATCAATTGCTTCTCAGGTTTTTCCTCTCATGAAGATGCTTTAAAGTGAAATAAAAGAGGGATTAGCTGTGCTTTATGAGTAGAATGACCTACATTCAGGCTGCCACTCAAACGTAGTATAGGCCCCACTGAATATAAGCCTTCAGTCTCTCTATAATGTCAGCGCTCCTTTCTGTTGGGAAATACAGATTTGGAAGAATTTGTCTAAGAAGTGTACCCAACCAGAAAGACGAGTGCTCCGGCTTTCAAACTGCTTGAAAATGCTCGACTATAGAGTGAAGTTCCCAGGGTTTCCTCTGCCACACTGTCAAAGGCACCGTGTGTCTGGCAGAGTTTCCACTCTGCTCACCTCGCCGCATCTCCCCGAGGAACAGAAACACTGGCTCTCTTCTTTATTAAAGGATTATGTGGTGAATCAATAGCCATATCAAAGACTAATGCTACATTCACTTAATATCCTGCAAAGCCTTTCCTGTATGATGATGATTAGAACTGGTGGGAGGGGGGCTGTCTTACTGCCATTATAGTGTATCGGGCTGGTTTAGTCTCATTTTAGCTCATCCAGAATGCTCCTGTTAGCATACTGTTAGCATAGCGTTTCCATTTATCATTAGCTGCAGTAGACTTTGCCATGCTGGTGTCCAGTGTTGGGATTATTATTCAAAGAAAAAGTAATGTATTATACATTTCTTGTTACTTTTATTAAAAGTAACAAAGTGTTAGCATGCTGTTTGTGCAGAAGCTTGCAAAGAGCCAAAGTCGTGTTAGCATCTTAATGCGGTTGTTTCTATCCTGGATGCAGGTTGCAGTTAGCATCACACTCCTGTTCTTTTGTGCAATAAAAATAATAATAATATCAATTTCCTCCTCCCACATACAAACTCAAATCGGCTGAATGTAATGTGAGCCTGCAGGAAGGAAAAAAGCATCACTACTAGTGTCATTCCTACAACATCAGTATTTATGTCATTGCAACCAGCCACTTAGAGCAAGCTGCTCATTAATATTATTATTGACATATTCATCCACCTTGCCCTCTTCCTTACGCAAACTTTGACACTCTTTAAGCTCCCTGAGCTGACTCCCCTAAAGCGAAAAGCCCTGAAGGCAACGCTGACAAGCAAGCATTTAGTATTTTTCCAGCCTTTTCCCTGAATTGCAGAGCTATGACATCACATCAACATGATTGGCGAGTTGAAATTATGAGTGATAACAGTGTCCGATTCAAAACTACGACTATAATTTGCGGTGGAGTGCCCTTTATGTTTTTTCCACCACAGCAAAAATTCATAAAGCCACTTTTTACTCTGTGTCTTTAAGCCCACACACACACCCCTCACTGATTGGATGCATATGGGAAAGTTTGGAGTTTAGTATCTTACCCGGCAACACTTAGACTGCAGAAGCACCCACCGTTCAATTAGCAGATAACCCATTTCACCTTATGAGCGATGATGTGGTGCAGTACACATGTGGCAAGCATGAACTAAAAGCTTGAGTTACAGCAGAGCTTAGAGAACCGTCCTGTCTATTACATTTATTATCCTTGATTACAGTTATTTCCCTTGTTTTTCATCATAATCATTCTCGTATTTAAAGAAGCTCGATTTCACTGGGGATATCTGATTAAATAAAAACTAAATAGAAATGGAAAACAGAGGCCGCCTCGCTCCATGCAGTGTAATATGAATATAATAATCAAAGAGATGAAGCCCACTGCCTGGCAGATAAGCATTTCTGGCAGCAGGTTGCCAATCACTGAAGAGACAATACACAGAGAGTCCCACATCAACATCTCAATCCAGCCTGATTTGCCTTCCAGAGCATCTGAGCTCGATGGCTCACACCTGCTGCCCCTTATTATTACCCAGCAGGCTGAAGACTGACACAGCTACCACACGAAGCACCGAGGAAGAGCGCTCCGTAGCACGAAAGTCCTGTGATACAGGTCGTCCGCTCTGCTTTTGCTTCAGATGTGATCATTTATTGAAGGAAAATCGGTGAATAACAAAGTCACAGCTGTGTAAATTCCACCACTGCAACGGTCGTTTGATTTCAAACTAATTAGTATTCCTTTAAGTGGGGCTTTGCCGCCCTCTTGTCATTAAAACGGATTTAAGCCAGGCCTCTCAGAGGATGCGCCGGAGGATGACGGAGTAATTTCTGCATGTCAGTCATCGTGGTGTCAGCGTGAAGAACACATCTCAAGGCGAACTCGGCCTTCAGTTGCAGCTGAGCAGCTGCTAAACCTGTTAAAGTCTGGCTTGTTTGGCTGCGCGTGTAAACTGAGTTGTGCGCTCTGAACTGCGGCTGAGTTGGGGCTTGACACGGCGCAGTTTGGGGATCTCAGCGGTGCCGAGGCATTGTGTATTGTGTCGGGAGAGTGTTGTGGGTTTTTTCCCAGTGTGCCGCAAAGGGTCGCTCCGTGTCAGAGGTGAGCCTAGTGAATGGAGGCTGTGGGACCCCCTCCACAGTTGGGAGGAGACTCTCCCCCCCTATTGAGAGCACTGAGGCAGAATGCTGTAGGCACAACAAGAAGGGGACTAAAGGCTTTATCTCTGGTTCACTGCCTTCAAGTAGGCTCGGGATTCCTGGCAACCAGGTTTAACTGCTGGAGCCTGCGTGCAGAGGGGAGAAGGCACAAAGGCGCTTGTTTTCCTCAGCTGATGTGCAACATCGTGGCCTGCTGTGGGAAACAAAGATCAGTCCAGACATCAGGTCTGGACTGATTGAATTTCTTACATTAGCATTTTCTGTTATGATAAAACTTTTCTCACTGTTGAATTATTCCGAGCAAACCCAAATTAGCTATTAATTTTTTTATTTTTTTTTTGGCCAAGTTTTAATGTAGAAAAAGTTTAAAGTCCACTGTGATGATCCAATTATCCTGCAAACCCAGGATTAGCATTAATCTGCTCTGGTTATTAGCAGGCACATGGCCTCTCCCCACAGCGTTTCCTCCGTTTTCCAGCCTTTCTCTTTCAGCACATACTCAAGCCTAGCGCTTTTTGGTATACGTCCTCCTTTTATAAAAATATACCTTCACTTTTCACGTTCTGTGGGTCAAAGTCGGGTTGTGTGTATATACCACCGTTATCCCCCTGGAGGTGTTTTAATATTGCTGCTACTTCTGATGTGTCGGACTACAGTTAAGTCTGCAAACTGTGCTATGAATTGGAATGAGACTACTATAGCTGGGGGCAGGCACAGCAACCACCTACATGTTTATCAGAAAATTAATCCTCAGACGGGGACTTGCACGTGTGTCAGATGTGAAGAAGAGTGAAGAAGGGATGCTGGAGATTCATGACATGCCTAATGACCTGCAAACTACATACTGATGTGAGAAAGTAGCTTCATTCTAGGTAGAAATGAGCATGTGTGTGCGTGTGTGCGCAAACGCATCAGAGAAGCAGGAGGAGGAGACCTGTGAAATGAGAAGACCCTCAGGCTCAGATTCTATCAAAGCTCTCAACACATCCGGGAATCACAGACCAAAAAATTCCACATGACGTGGTGATTGAGAGCGGAACGGCAGCTCTGTGTAAACCCCGATAAAGTGTACTGACCCAGGCTGCGGATTACATGCAAGAAACCTCAGCTGTTAATAAAGTTTAGCGAGCCGCCGCTTGTTTTGGATTCGCTCCCAGTGTCGATCCTCCAGTAAATTTCCTGTAAGATTTAGCCTATAGCGATAAACCACAGATCTAATTTGTACACCCAGCCGTGACCTTCTTGGACAGCGTAGATCTGCGTGCAAGTCACACTGGGTCTGGTGACATGTTCTTTTAAGGGTCTGTGCTCATCTCTCATCAGCACTCAGACACTTTAAGTGGCTCAGCCACACTTAATTAGCCTCTTCTTCGCGACTCACTGCAGCTTTTTTGCTCAAATTAATCTTCTCAGGTTAGCGCCTGGCACCCACTCCACTGTCTCTGACGGGAGGTCAAATTTATCCTCTGCTAAGAAATTACTTAGCTAAACGAGGGCTTCTTCATGCAGCCACGGATAATAACCTCGATTAATTAAAGAGAGACTCTTCCTAATTAAGGTCTTACTCTGCGTGGTCCAACTGTGACCCTGTAAAACAAGCTGAAGGCGGTAATGAGTCATTTCTCAAACAGAACATTGCTTCTGATTTTGTGTGGGCATAGTGTGACGTGAGCTTCACAGAGAGAGCTCGGCACCAAATAGAAAAATAACCTTCTCCATTATTATCATGGTTATTGACCTTGGTGTCTCCTTCCTCCTTCCAGGTCAATGGAAAGGATCTCTCAAAGGCCACACACGACCAGGCGGTGGAGGCCTTCCGCACCGCCAAGGAGCCCATCGTGGTCCAGGTTCTGCGTCGGGCCCCTTACCCCAAAGTGGCCAACCCTGCCGTTGACACCCAAGTCACAGACATCAGCACCCAGACGGACATCACCCTCCAGCACATCATGGCCCTCACCAATCTGCCCCCCTCTTCACCCCCAATCTCAGAGCTGGAGGAGTATCTGCTTCCAGAGGAGTAAGTACCAGCTCGTTTTTTTTACTCAAGGAGTTCAACCTTGCAAGTTAGTGAGCACAGAACGGCACAAGAACAACTGGAGGCAGACTATTTCAAGAGTAGTCAGAGAACTCTTGTTTTAAATATAGAGAAGGCAGTTTATTCTGTAAATTATGTGTGGGACACACATTTGAACATTAAATAACTGTACATGTCGGGCCTGGTAAACTGATTTGTACACCCCTGAGTTTGTGGGGCACAAATGAAGGCATTAGCAGAGACCGTGGAATGTCAATGAAACTGTGTTGCTAACAATCTCTTCCCCTGTCACCGATTCAAAGTGTTCTAGTTACACATTAAACTAATCTCAAATTTGAGGTGGTTAATTAAACCGTCTACCAGTGGTTTTAAAAAAGGACACATTTGAAAGGGTCTCATAAGCCTTTATGTGTCGCCAGCCTTTCTGGACCATTTTTCTTCATCTTCTTAAAGCAAGGCCGGCTGCAGTTAAGCACACTCACCCTCAGTTGCTAAAGACCCCTCACGCCTTTTTCACAACTTGCTTGTTCAGAAATTCCTTTTGCCAAATAGAGAAGAGTGTCGAAATCTTTGTTGTTAGAACTCGGCAGTGTTGGAAAGGTCATGCCAGTTTTGGTCACCGTCCAACGTTTTACCTCAAATGCTAATTGAAAGAGCTTATCTTGCTCTGCAGAATGCACTGCTGTGATCGTGTAACACCAGTGTGGAAGTTTGAAGGGAAAATGTCCCTGTCACTCACGGGAGATAACAGCTCCTCCGGGGCACGCAGACACATTAAAATGATGGCCGTGCTCATTTGCACATTCTCAAAATGCATCTTTTGTTTCTGACTCCGTGTGTGTGTGAGCCCTGGAGCCTGGCTATACTTTCCACTCTGTGGCAGCAGGAGTCGCCCTTTAATGAATAATAGCGATTTAATTGATTTCCGAGACAAATTAATAACACGGCGTTAATTTGTGATTAGCTTCAGGCTGCAGTTTCAATGAATCTGATTCAAGAGTGATTTCTTCATTGAATTCTTATTACTTTCCCACTACTTCTCCATTTAATTTTCCAACTCTGGGGCAAAATTAAATCCAGATTGACAAACGCGTCACTACTTCTTGTTTCCTTTCCTAATGTGTGTGTTCAATTTGACTTCCACTCTTTTCCAATTTATCCTATTCTCTTTTTTTCCTTTCCTCAGGCATCCTCCTGGGCACGTGTACTTTGACCCTGATTTCCTTGAGGGTATACAGCAGGACATAGAGCGGGAGGAGCTGGAATATGAGGTAAAAACACCATCTCCGTTCTTAGTCGTCCACTCAATGAAGCTCTACTTTTGGGCAGAAGTGCATTATTGCTCCATAAGCAGACCTGAGGTCGTCTCGGCGTCTCCGCTCCAATGGCCTTGTTAGCGACCCCAAGCCCTGATATATTGCAGTTATTGATGGAGCAGTCTCCCTATGCGGAGACACTGAGATGCATGCCAGACAGGAATCGAGTTGCTGGTTTGTTCCAGCAGATGCACAACGGTGACATCATTACTTATTAGTGACAGGGCCTAATAAGTCTTCCTCTGCTCCTACGCAGTGGAGATGAGGCCCAGCGGATAATTAGATGGCACAAGATAATAGGGCTGCGGTGATGAATCTGACGATGCTAACAGAGGCTGGAAGAGGCCACGATCAAACCTCCATCGTGCACCTTCGTTGACCTCTGCCAACCCTCGCTCCCCCTCTTATTAAACCTCAGGGACCACCTGCCTGATATTAATAATATCTGTGGAGGTGCTCTTGAAGAATGACTCTGCTTCATAATGTTTAAATTCACACAACAGCAAATTAGCGATTAAATCAAATCCGACAGGTTGACCGCTAATTTGTTTATATTAATACCAGAAGCTTTTTTGTTTACTTTACTTTTCTTCCCAAATCATATTTATTGTTTTGTTTAGTTGTTTTTTTGCTAGTTAAAATAGATTCACACAGTCAGTGTTATGAATCCTGTATAATATAATCCAAATTAATGAATCCTATAGGTATCCCTGTGATTCAGTTCCATTTTATTTAGCACTAAATCACAGCAACAGTCACCTCGAAGCACTTCGTGTTGTAAGATGAAGACCCCAACAGTCATACTGGTGTTGGCCAGAGGGGCCGATGGCGCGATATGGCAGCCTCGCTTCTGTCAGCCTGCCCCAGGGCAGCTGTGGCTACAACTGTAGCTGCCTCCACCAGTGTATGAATGTGAGAGTGAATGAATAGTGGTATTGTAAAGCGCTTTGGGTGCCTAGAAAAGCGCTATATAAATCCAATCCATTATTATTATTATTATTATTATACGACCCACTATGCTGCGCTTGGCAACATTAGGAAGGAAAAACTCCCTTTAAACAGGAAGAAACCTCTGCAGAAGCTGCAGGTATTTAATAAATCCAGAAGAAAGACTGCTACAAACAGCTAGAAGCAACAATCTAAACTTCTAGTGTCGGTTTCAGCCATTCACGAGTATCACCCCTGCTTACCATACCTCACTATAGCATCACATTTACTGAATAAGAATAGTCATCTAATTCTTGGTGTTTTCCAGAGGTTTTTCCTCAAAGATGGTCTCCATTTTTTTAGCTGCGAGTTTTTTAGAATGTTAACCCCTTTCAGAATCTGCCCTCTGCCCCCAAAAACGAGCGCTGCTCATATCTTTATCTGTATCTGTGAGATTACACGTGTTGACAAGTGAAAAATGGCACTCTCCGCAACTGCAGTCCACTGCATCATCTCTCATTCTGTCAGAGGGCTTTGTCAGGAGCCTGTGGCCTTGCTGCCTCCAGCTGAAAGATTCATTACAGAGATTGATGGATCACTCCTTCTCTGGTGTCCCAGTTTTGATCCCATTTAGATAGTCCTGGGACACAGACGTATAAATACAGTGTTTCTCTGCTCTATGGGCCAAAATAATTCCAGCTATGTAGGTTATTAATTTGTGCATGTGTCTTTCCAGGAGGTGGATTTGTACAGAGACAACATTCAAGACAAGCTCGGCCTGACTATCTGTTATAGGACTGACGATGAGGATGAGGCTGGGATCTACATTAGTGAGGTATGTGGCGCAGGCGGACAGCGATTTCTTTGCCTGTTGGCGTCAATAACGCTCACTTTAACTCACAAATGTAATGTGTGCTCTTTTTAGATTGATCCAAACAGCATTGCAGCAAAAGATGGCAGAATTAGAGAAGGTGACAAAATCATACAGGTATGATTTCGTGTGTGTGTGCATGTTTCTGTGATCTCATATCATGACAGTCAACAAAAACAGCTTTTTTTAATTTAAATGGCTCTTTCTGTGTCAATAAGATCAACGGTGTTGAGATCCAAAATCGAGAGGATGCCGTGGCACTGCTAACCAGTGAGAGCAACCAGAACATCTCCCTGCTGGTGGCCAGGCCAGAGATCCAGGTAATTTCACAAACTGTTATTGGTGTCAACTCAATAAAGGTTTTAGTTTGGAACCAAATGTGATTTCACATCAAATTGATTCAAATCTGAAAACAGCACTTGGACTTTGAATAGCAGATGGTCTTTTTTGTGTGTGTGTGTGTGTGTAAAACTTTGCATCTAATGAGGCGTCTCTTCTCTCCGCCGCGTCTCAGCTGGATGAGGGCTGGATGGATGATGACAGGAACGACTTCCTGGATGACCTCCACATGGATATGCTGGAGCAGCAGCACCATCAGGCCATGCAGTTCACTGCCAGCATGCTGCAGCAGGTACGCGCACATGTGCGCAGCGTGAAGAGCGTGAGCACGCACAATCAATCCCCACTAACACATATGTCCATCAATAGATTATGTCGGCCGAGCCCGTTCTGGCGAGGTGAACAGATGCTCCGCGGTTTCCAACTGTTTTTTTCCATTAACAGAAATTGTCTTTGTTATGGAGAACCTCAGGCTCAGCGACACAGCCTTTGTTATTCGTCCATTTGTGACTAAAAGTGCAGTGAATGCTCATAATTAAAGCAGATGTGATATTAACAGTTTTGCACATATTTGTCCAAATGTGAAAAACAGTTGTGAAACAGTTACGCTTATTTCTTCCCCCTGTGCGGGCTGTTTGCTTGTTTTGTTTAGAAGAAGCACGAGGAGGATGGGGGCACCACAGATACAGCCACGCTGCTCTCTAACCATCACGAGAAGGACAGCGGCGTCGGCCGCACGGACGAGAGCACGCGAAACGACGAGAGCTCTGAGCAGGAGAACCTCGGCGATGACCAGACCACAGCCTCCAACACGCTGGGCAGCTGCAGAAAGCTGACCTACAGCCAGGACACGCTCGGCAGCACCGACCTGCCCTTCAGCAGCGAGTCGTTCATGTCGGTCGACTACGCCGACGCCGACTTCCTGGGCATTCCGGTTGACGAGTGCGAGCGCTTCAGGGAACTCCTGGAGCTCAAGTGCCAGATGAGGAGCAGTGGAGCCCAGGGCCTCTATGGGCAGGGCGGTGGAGCGGTGGGTCAGGACCAGGAGGGTGTGGACAAGGAGCTTGAGATGCTCAATGAAGAGCTGCGCACCATAGAGCTAGAGTGCCTGAACATCGTCCGCGCCCACAAGATGCAGCAGCTGAGGGAGCAGTGCCGTGAATCCTGGATGCTGCACAACAGCGGCTTCCGCAACTATAACACTAGCATAGATGCTCGCCGCCACGAGCTGTCAGACATCACGGAGCTGCCAGAGAAGTCTGACAAGGACAGCTCCAGTGCCTACAACACTGGTGAGAGCTGCCGCAGCACCCCTCTGACTCTGGAACTGTCTCCAGATAATTCGCTCCGTAGAGTAGCAGAAAACCAAGCTGGGCCGTCGGGCTCCAGTGGCAGGATGCTGAAGCCCCTCCTGTCTCCTGTGCAGGAAGCTTGCAGCCCGAGCCGGAGCAGAAGCTCATCCAAGGATCCAGATGGAGCGCTGCAGGCAGACGGCAAAGAGAGAAAGCCCGGAGAGTCTAGTAAGAGCGGGCGAGGCTTCTCTCAGCCGCACTCACCTTACAAGCACGCTCACATCCCCGCCCATGCCCAGCACTACCAGAGCTACATGCAGCTGATCCAGCAGAAGTCAGCCGTAGAGTACGCTCAGAGCCAGATGAGCCTGGTCAGCATGTGTCGGGATCCCATTACCCCCAGCGACCTGGAGCCTAAGATGGAGTGGAAGGTGAAGATCCGCAGCGACGGCACACGTTACATCACCAAGAGGCCCGTCCGGGACAAGCTGCTGAGGGAACGCGCCCTCCGGATTCACGAGGAGCGCAGCGGTATGACCACAGATGACGACGCCATAAGCGAGCTGAAGATGGGCCGCTACTGGAGCAAGGAAGAGAGGAAGCAGCACGCGGTGCGTGCCAAGGAGCAGAGGCAGCGCCGCGAGTTCATGAAGCAGAGCCGAGCCGACTGTCTGAAGGAGCAGGCCACCCTGGAGGACAAAAAGGAGCCGAACATCATCGAACTCAGCCACAAAAAGATGATGAAAAAGAGGAATAAGAAAATATTTGACAACTGGATGACCATTCAAGAACTTCTCACCCATGGTACCAAGTCACCAGATGGCACGAGGGTGTACAACTCCCTCCTGTCTGTGACTACGGTCTAAGTCCTGTTCAGGCCTGCTAGAGGAGAAGAGACTTGAGTGTAATGGTCTGTACATAGGACTCTAACAGCTGGGGTACAGATTCCTGCCTCGTTCAAGGTGGCAACACGTGTAAATAGGAAATAAACACCTTTTCTGTGTGAGCATTTTCCCCACTGCAGTGAAAAGAGGGCTCCTGAAACAACGGTTGGACCTCGAGTGAGTTGGATTAGGAGACCGTGTATGAGGAAGATTTTGGAAGCATAATTCAATAATCTCTTCTACCTTTGTGCCTGCTTTTTTGAAGATTTTTTTGAAACACAAATACAATATTTGACTTTTTGGAAGGTTTTGAAAGTGTGTAAAGACAGTGTGCCATACATTAAAAAGCCAGCATTTACACTATTTTACATTATTTTGTTCGTACTATATATCTCTTCAGTATTTTTGCTGTAATGTGTCCGTAATGCTTTTACCAAAACAATATTTTCCTGCGAGGTGAAACTCTTAACCTTTTCAAAAGGACTTTTTGTAAATTAAAAAAAATCCAACTTTTGTATCAAATTCACTTTGTTTTCCTTTCCCTTGAATGGTGCTGATCTCCCAAAGTTTAAAGCCACCAGCGATGTACCGTCTGTTACATAATGTAGAGAACATCATAACGTGATATCACCATGTATGTACGTATATTTAGAGAAAGACATTTCTCACGTTGCTGAAACTGAAATGTCTGTTTGTTCAAGCACACACTGTAGTTGCTTTGGTAGGGTTTCATGTATTGGTCAGAATAACAGCTTAAGCAAATCTTTAGTTAACCACCCAATTTGATGTCTTGTAAAATGAGAGAAATAATAAATTATTGTTTTATATATGACGAGCTTTGAAAACTTGTGAGAATTTTGTCATTTATAAGAGATGTTGTTTATTTCCTTCTGGCATTTTAGCATTTAAGTATTTTTACTCAATAAGGGGAGGTTGGACCAAAGTAGATGGTGCAAGACTCCAGTCAAAATATTCATGTCGATTAAGGTTTTTGAACCAAGTTTGAAAATGCACAGAAAAAGTGTTTTTGTTCAAAGACATGAAAGAAAACGGGACATTTCCACACAACAGTACGTGCTACTCCCTTTCTGGCTCTTACAGGTGCCTTTCAATAAAAAGTTACCATTTGGAAAAATTAACGAGGCATCTTTTTTCTCAAACTAGAGCCTGGATGTTCCCGTCCTCATGCTCGTTTTTGTCTCCCCCTCTTTTTTTTTTTTTTCCTGTGTAGAGCCAGTTCTCTACACAGCTCTCTTTGTGGAAGCAAAGAAGTTTTTTGGTGATATTCTTTATTAAAAGGTCCACTAATTAATAACGTATAGCAAAAACACTCTGACAAGAAATGTTTTGTTAATTTTATTCATTTATTTTTTAGTTTTTGAGGTTTTTACTGATGGGGTATTGTCGTTACCCCACCACACGGGCGGACAGGTTGGTGGTGTGGAGATCAAAGTTTGCGAAAACAATAACTCAACAAAAGGTGATGTAGGATTTTGAAATTCCTACCATAGATCCGTCTACTAAAAATCTCAGACAGGTTTGAATCTCAGTGACGTCGAGGTCAGAGGTTGCATTTTCCAAAAATCGTGTTAAAGGAAGTCACGTAGGATTTTCAGATTTATACCACACATGCATCGGCTAGAAGTCTGACTGGCAGCACTACGTTTGTTCTTTGTTTAGTTGAGTTTTTTTGGTTTGGAGACTGTAACCTACAAAGGCTACAATAGTTTGTTTAAACAGCACATGACTTTTATTTAAAACATCTCAACCCAACCTAATTTCCCACCAGTACAGAGTGATGTTGCTACAAATCTGCTCCTAAAAGCTTGAGTAGCTATTTCACTAAAGCTGTTAATGATTTGTGAACAATGCGTCTGTTAGTCAGTAACTGTAATTTACATTTTTTACATTTTTCCTTGTGATATTAGCGATGATAGTGATAGCATTTTGATGTTTATACAAAGAGTATCAAAGACATTTCAACTTCACGGCACACAGCAGTGCATTTAGGCTGGAGAGCTTAATAATCCATCAGATCTCTCAGGCTGCAACGCTGCTGAATTTCATTCAGTTCAAATCCAACTTTAAATAGATTTCTTTGCTGTGCTGCTTAGTCCGTTTCAATATCTCGAGTAACACGTTTTTGATTTTAGCATGTGGTATCAAAGGCACCCTCCCTCTCTTGGAATACATTTTTTTTTCAATCTAGGATGAAGTCTTACTGGTATCACAGAAGCATCCATTCATCTGCCAGCCAGTAGTAATGATAGCAGAAGTCCTGAGGCAAAAAGTGTTTTGGCTGTGTCTGCGTTTCATATCAGAACCCAAGTAGGGCAACAGCATGACAGGCTGGCATTAACATAAAACAGTCCAGTCAGTAGAGATCCCTGCTGTCCAAGTCTGACGGGGCTCAAGGTTGACAACAAAGATTTACATACTGACAGCCTTTTCTACATATCTCACAGTGGCTTCCCTCCATTATCTTTTCCTCAGCCAAAGAAAAGTGGTCCATCAGCTCGTAGCTCAGATCTGATGGGTCGTTTCACGCTGTCTGTAATGCTGGCAATAAGCTTTGTCTTATGGTGATGTCCCCATGCTGGGCTGATGGTTTATTTATCTGACGCCGGACTCCTACCATCTGTTACAGAGACCTTGTCGCCTCAGTCCCGTATGATCCTTCAATTATCAGCTCAGCGCCTCGTTACCGAGGACAAAAGCAGCTCACCCTCTGCTGATCCACTTTGTCGTCACCTTAGTTGTTCAGTGCACCGTTGTTTTTTAATGAGACGACAACAACAAGGGCAGGAGTAACATGCATTTAACGTGTTTACTCACAGATGAGTCCATTTAAAGATTGATCAATTTGAGGGTTTGGACATTCAATATGTAGATATTTTTACTTTAGCAGGTCAATTAATTATTGTGTAGGGTCTGAAAGTGAATACTAGAGCCCATTTTCCTGCCATTTGAACTCTGTTCGCTTTGTTAAAATGTAGATATTTATTCAGTTGTAAGCTGTTTTGTGCAGCAAGTATCTAATAAACATACAGTCTTGTCTGATGAACGTAGACTACATGATTTAGAAAACGTACTGAATATGTGTGTTTTCTCCACTGTTTCTTCCAAAGCTATGACACCTCTGGCACAGTCAAAGCAGCTGGAGGAGACTTCATCTAAACAATAACTTAAAGAAATTTCTTCCATTTGGGTTTAGATATGCAAACATTCAGCTTGTTGTGCTGGTCCCAAGAGATTTACCAAATGTGTATAAAAGAGTGCTCAAAACTGCAAACAAAGGTTGTTATATCTTCTTTTTGTTAGGGGATCAAATATTCGTCAAGCTCCAAAACTTCATATATACCCCATAGTACGTCCTGCCAAACCCTGCTTAGTCGGTGTGTCAAGCTAATAGTCACCTAACAGAAACATGCACATCATGGTGATACTGATACAACCTAATGATACCGATTATCTCTACATCATGACCCCTGTTGGTGGAGGTGGGGGAATATATGGGGAAGCAAATGAACATGTTGTCCTCAAATCTCATGTTAAAAGCAAGAAAAATGTGCAGGCGTGAGGATTTGAACAAGTTTGACAAGGACCAAAGGTTGGTGGTTCAATTCTTGGCAGCTCCAAAGTAGCGCCAAACGATCCTTGGGCAAGATACTGAACTACAAGTTGCTCTCTGATGCATTCATTGGAGGCATCAATGTGTGTGAGGACTTCAGGTATAGAAAAATTGCTTGGAGGGATTGGGCGAATGAAGCTTGCATGAAATGCTCGAGAACAGTAGAAAAGCAGTATAAAGGAACAAGTCTATTTACCATTGGTGCTCCCTGATGGTTGTGGCTTCTTTCAGCAGGATAGTTCACCCTGAGGTGTTGACTTGGCCTCCAAATTCCCCAGATCTCAATCAAGTCGAGCATCTGTGGGATGGGCTGGACGAATGAGTCCGATCCATAGAGGCCCCTCTCACAACTTACAGGATTTACTGCTATCATCTTGGAGGCCAGCTACAGGGTTGTTTTGGCAGCAAAAAGGGGCGGGCAGACAGGCGGTCATAATGCTGTGCCTTATCGGTGTACATGTTCCTCCCTTCTGTAGCCTATCACAAAAAGACTGACTTAAAATTCCTTTATGAACTGGCAGTGCTGTCTTCAGTTTGTATTATTAGTCAGTCTGGATAGTTCATGAATCTCTCTCGTCTCCATTCTTGAGTCTGCATCACTTATGAGGGATGATTATGATAATGAGGGGTGCAAGCTCAGCCTCTCCCTCTGTGTCTGGTAGAGTATAATTGATGACTCCAAGCTCTTTACAATTGACCGAACCCAAGCCTCGTGATTTATGTCTGGATACAAATCTCCGTGCGCACTCTTTTAATAGGAGATAACAATGTGGCATGCAAGGCAAACTATAAGATATAGCATCAATTCTGGGTTGCCCCACCACCAGCATCACAGACTCCTTGGAGATTATCTGATCACGTACCTGTTTTGCTACCTCCATGTGTTTTTATTATCGTTGGGATGAAAGTGTTGCTCTTCCCCTCCCCACATGGTTTGACAGTCCAGTGTTTGGCTTGGACTGAGGGACTCATCAGTTTAAATGTCAGCGTGGAGAAGAGGCCGACATTCCGGTGCACTTACCCATTAACTGATAAGGAGGCGGCTCCTCTGCTTCCTGCGAGCGCTGCCGATCCCAATGCTGTCTCACTATGGAGACGAAAATGGTCATACCTGCTCGATAAGTCTGGAAACTCCACCTCAGCTTGCCAATATTTACAAGCAGACTGATACTGCCTCTATATGAGATTTGACAAATAACAATAGAATTCATCTCATTCACGTCTTGCCAAAAAAGAACACACACACAAAAACCATGTACTTGACCTACATTAACATGGCCAACTTTTTCCATCTTTTTGCTCGGTGTGACGATCCTCGGAGGCACGGCATCGCTCCAGCGAGTTCAGCATGTGCTGAGACTGTGTTTGCACATGTTGGATTAAAGAGAACAAGCTGCTGGATAAACAGGAAGAATCGCTGAACCACATGTTTGTGTCTCAACATCAGTGGAAAAAAGGGAACGCTCAATTGTCGAATCGTGCCCTCTGGGACTTTGATTTTTCACAATAAAACTTAAAACTAAAACCCCAAAAGTACTGCAGATGTGAAACTGGAGCCCAGCAACATTTTTCGGTGCTTTTCTTTTAAATTAATAAGTAGGCATCCGTATTGAGAGCGATTGTTCTGACCTTGACTTGCATGACTGATCATTAACCCTGGTAGATATTAAGAAAAGTGGATTTATGGTTTCATGTGGTTCTTTTTTAGTTATTGCTACTATGTACTTTGACGGAATGACCTGTTTTACCATTAACTCATATGTAGTTTTTTAGACAGGTCCCGGAAGCCAAAAATAAGAAGAACGCACACACGAGTGGATGTTTTTCTGTGTAAAAACTATAACCATAATTTTTCTGAGTGAGCTGGGGAATTGCGAATGACATGTGTTTGTGTGTTGCTTTTAAATGCATTTTATCACTTCAACGCATCTGCTGTGAAATCATGCAGTATGAGACAGTCAGGAGAGATGAATCACTCTCCATACGGTGGACAGTGATCGGGTACATAAAAAGAATAATAAAATCCACAAGGATGTATGTCATTTACCTCCTCAGGATATGAGCTCAGACAGCATCCAGGAACCTGACAGTTTGATTTCGAGCTCTTTTCCACAGTGTATCCTGCCCCCCTCACCCCTAACCGGTGGCAGCAGATGCATCCCCCTCCCCGAGGCTGGTTCTGGTTAAAAGGGAGTTTTTCCTTCCCACTGTTGC